TTTATTTTAAAACTACAGTTTTACAATAAACTACAGTTTATTTATATTAACTAATAGTTTACGGATCGCACCTCTAGTTAGTAGTAGTAATTATATTTAGCTTTAAAAAAATTCTTGAAAAGTATAATCTTATATTTTATTTAAAGCAATGATCTTTTCATGATCACAAAAAGAGTTTACGTTTATGTTGAAAATTTGGCTTATAAGATAAAATAGACTCAATTAAAAGATTTTATGCATCAAGCTATTATTGTTTAGTTTTTATTTGAAATTACAATAAAGTTTTGAGTTTATTTATTTGTAATTTGTATACAAGACTAAAAGAAATTGACAAATACAGTAATTAATTAATACTAAAGAAAAGCATTTAATGCTAGTAATAGTTTTTTTTTTGAACTATTATTATATTGATTACTAAAGTAATTCGGACCAAAATTTTGAAGATTCTCGGCCGTTAGCCAATCAAAATCGAGGATCCGCCGTGACAATTTTGTTGCGGGCCAAATTTATTTTACTTATTCAAATTTAATAATTTATTATTTTATTTTAATTCTATGAATTAAGAGAATTAAAATAAAAAAAATTAGATAGTTGTTGTCGAGAAAGGTTCACTTAAAGTTGAAAAAAAGAAAAATTTGGCTTTTTGATATTGAATGGTTTTTAAAGTTTTGAATGTAGCTTCCCTAATACCTATCTATGAAAATTTTGATTTTCATTCTATAATAGCACAGAATTATAATAAAAAAATTTTTACTGAATTTTATCAAATTGTTATCGAGAAACCTTCGCTAGAAATTTTCAAAAGCTTTATCCTGATTGGCACAAAATCGGAATGTCATCACGTGATAGGGAAATTTCTTGTGGTGCTCAGGGTTTGGAGCTGATAGATTAGTTCGGCTTGATTAATATTAGCCATGAGCCGGCGAAGCAAAACTTGAAATTTACAAAAAATAGTAGTCTAAACCTACCTTGGGTGAGTTAAGTTTGCATCGATATTGTAACTATCTCCCTAAAGTTAATTCAATAAAATATACAGCATATTATAACGTACGTACGTACGTAACTTAACTGAATTCATAATTCATTTGACACGTGAATTTATGATAAAAGATAATCTATTAATAAGTGTTAACATTATTCTTTTTCTAACTTCTTCAAATTGTTAGATTTCGTTGGTAGGTTTTCTCTGGATAAATTCTAAAGCAAAAAACATTTTCAACTGTAAATTTTAAAAATGCTGGCTTTAAAGATTATGTATCATTATTCTGATTTAAAAAAATAATCAATCTTTGTTACTAGTTATAGCATTCTTCTAACTCATTAATATAGTGATATATTTTATGATTCCTTATTACATGATTCCTTATCCAAATAACAAAATTCAATGAATTTAGAAATCAAAACTGAAACACAAGAACCATCCTTTGCGTTAATATTTTCTTCGAATACCTTGTGAGAAAGCTTGCACTATCTAACAAATATTGTGGAAAAATGTCAGAAAAATCAATCAAGTCGGATGATTCAAAAGGGCCCTCTAAACCAACATTGAATGTCTTTGCACAACCTCATTTCAGATCAAAATCAAATACTACACGTTTACCTTTCAAAGATTTTCAAAAAAATGTTCCAGGTTCAAATTTACAGTCATCCAGTGATCCATCACCAAAATCAATTTTCCAGACAGACAATAACAATTCTTCTTCAGATACTTCATTATTTTCGAAAATATTTTCAACAAAACAAAACAATTCAGAAGCGGAATTAGTAGAATGTATAAATGAAGAAAACCCTACTCAAGAAATTCCAACGAATGGTGAATCAGTTGCGCTACCTGAATTAAATTCAATATGTCCTTCCCAACCAGATGAAGAGTCGCCTATACAATCAGGCTCTATTCATACGAAAGATTTGCAAAGTCTACAAACAGATGTGGATATTAATGACTGTAGTATTGAATCACATATAATACAAAATTCTCAAGATGTTGATCCGTCATTGAACGATGATCAAAATTCTTCATCAGAAGGTTTACCTTGCCTACGTAGTCAGTCTGATCTATCATCAAAGGCATTTTCAATTAATGAATGCGTACCTGTTAATGCGCCTACTTCGAGTTCCATAAAACCTTGCTCTCAAATTACTTCAAAGAATCTGAAAAATAATTCAAATATTGATGAGCTTCATGTGGAAAAGGAGGGAGATGATTTGAGCATCATTATTGAGGTTGCTCACAAATGGAAAAACGAGGTTTCTAGAAAGGATTATTTAATCAAAGAATTGGTGAGAGGAATTGGCTTTTCAACCATATCATAAATTTCGCTCATAACATACAATATTCAATTATACTCACAATATCATAATTATGCTATTAATAGCATGATGAGATTCACGGGTTAAAAAAAACTGTTGAACAGCGCGATTATTCTTTGTCTTTATATATAGAGCGTATGTCCATTGTAGAAGCGCTAATAAAACGGCAGCAAACTTATACTGATCACAATCGTGAGAGAATTGAGAAAATGAAAACAAAATATTACCTGTATCGTAATAGTTTATCAAATATGTTAAAACGTATGGAAGAAGTACGAGATGAAAAGAGTCTAATCGAAAGTGAAATCGGATCTTTAAAATGTGGTACGTGAAAATTTTTTAAAACTGTGCATCATGTTAACATAATCATATAAAGTAAAGTGCATTATACAGAATTCAATAAACTCGCTGCACTACACAAATCTATTTCTGAAAGTCATGCCTCTAATTTTCAGTCACGTATGTGTGTTTATGGTTATGTATTTCACGTTAATGCTTGTAAGATATTATCATACTTTAATAATATTATTTTACATCTTGAAGAACAATCTCAAATCGCCCAAATTACCGATCTAAATACCCGTCTCACTGAAGCTAATGCACAACTTAATAACGTCATCGCACAACTTCGTCAATTAATACAAGATTCGGACGCCAAGTCTTCATGTTGTGCAGCTGAGCTTGAATCTACGCGCGAAAAATTGCAGGTATTGTTATGTGAACGTGACACAGAAAGAATAACGCATATGAACAAATGCAAGGATCTAGAGTCTTTGTTAAAACTTTCCGAGGACAAAAATAAAGCTTTGACGACAAATCAAAAAGAAAATGAAGAAAGGTGCTTTCTCTTTTTCCTTAAACAAGCAAAATATCTTAAATTTTAAATATTGTTGTTAGGTAGTAACAAAATTATTTTTATATGTGAATTAACCGATAATAGAATTGCTGTACTTACAAAGGATATTCAGCAAATCCGACAAGAACTAGAATCAACTCAAGCAGAAATGATACAACTTAATTTGGCCGTCACTGATAAGGATCAACGGTACTTAATATACGAGTTACGCAATATTTAAATCACGAATGTACAATAACTTAGTATTCATATATAACTTCATTTAATAATATAGAATATCGTCTTTATTGATATCAGAAACAGAATGTGAACGTCTTCAACAAGAGCTCGGTCAAACCAAGATTAACATGAAGAATGACTTTGATTTGCTCCAAAAAGAATTGGAAGCCACTCGTGCCCAGCAAATTGTAGAACGTCAACGACTTGAAACTGAATTTCACGATGAACACCGTCGTTTGCAAGCTCAGTTCCATAAAGAACGTTGTCAACTGGAATCAGAATGGCGTAATGAACGTAATCAATTGGAATCAGAGTGGCGTAATGAACGCATTCAACTGGAATCTGAGTGCCGGCGTCTAGAATCTGATTATCGTGACGAGCGATCTGAACGCTTTCGTGTTGAGAATGACCTGCGTAATTCGGAACGAAAATTGGAGGAAATGCGTCAAGAGATTGATAACAGCAAGCTAAAGTATACTAGCTTATCTCGTCTTTTTAACACTTTGCATAAAAGGTTTACTTGAATTTAATTATATTTAATTATTCAGAATTGCCCAGTTAGAATTTCATTTAAGTGAAGTTGAATATAAACATACAAACCGCACATCCGGTATGTCTATATTTCTTTATGAAACAGTCTTTCTTTGTTTCCAAGCTAAAGTGTTAACTGTTTCGTAATTTTAATGATCATCTAGTGGCTATCGGAACAACTGATATTCCGGATCTTGATCTTCAAATACAATATAATAAAGCAATATGCAAATTTGACAAAGAACAGTCTGGCAGAGAAACAAAAATAGAAGAGTTGTCTAAGACTGTAGAGACTTGGAAGGTATGCTATTTTTCCTATCGAAAAAGATATTTTTGTGTACATATGATTATCTGGATATTAAATGTACGATAACGTTGTCTAAATTGTATAAATTAGTCTAAAGCAGAGTCACTTGAATCACATTTAAGTTTAATTTCCACAAAACACGAGGAATTACAGAATGAACATAACAAAATTGTCGAAGAAATTATTAATGTTAATCGTCAGGTAACTTTTCTACAGCAATCATTAATAAAGTTTGGATCAGTATTTACAAGAGAATTCAATCAAACTCATCTTTAGCATAATGAGGCCATTGATCAAGCCCTCAGTCGTGCTGCTTGTTATTACCAGGAGATGGCCAAAAGGACAACAGTTGAACATGAAAATGATATTCGCAAACGAGATTGTAAAATTCGCGAAGCTGAGGCAAAAGAATTAGCATTGACTGAAGAAATTGTATGTATAAAATGTTAATAACTCCGTAATTTATATTGACCAAGATTTTTATTAAATTTTATAGAAAACCATGAAAGCTAAACTTCTTCAATCGGAGTCAAATGAGAAATCTTTAATGCAGCAACTAGTAAAATTATTTTGTATAGATATGCTTAAATAAAGCAGTAAATATTATTATTATTAATTCTTAATTTTATTCATTCAATAAAGCGGTTGAGAAAAGGATGCAATGTTTCTATTACTGGAAATACAGTAAGTGTATATTACTTTATTCAATTTTCTGCTCGCAATACTTTAATTTACATGGAATATTATAGTCTCCGGTGAGTCATGAACATAGAGAGTTTGAATCAAGCATCAATGAAGTATCATATGAGACATTATTAGACACAAAGGTTCGTTGAATATAATCACAACGTCTATTTAATTTCTCAATGATTGATTTGTTTTATAGTGATTTGGATATTGTACAATCTACTAACATATCTGTATCAAACTCTGATAAGTCTTGTGCATCAACGGTAAGTACAGTAAGCAGTATGAATATTAGATTAGGAATGGTAAAAAAAAAGTTTTAAACATTCTTCACCGATTTAAAGCAGTTGATGATTAAAGTCTGAATAGTTTAAACGTATTTAAGATTATAATCATCACTTGTTTTCAATTACGTAATAAAAACTTCTGCCATCCTTAATGAATATTTGCGCATACAGTAGTTAATGGTTGTCAAATGCAAATACATTTGGCTTTATAGAATGAAGAAATCTACACAGTAGATAGTGCGATAAAAGCTGAACCTAATGATGAATTACAATCGGAACTTTCTCATGATTGGTTATCACCAAATGCACAAACCCGGTCTAAAAGACGGAAGGCAAGTGTTTAAAATTTTTAAGCTTTTAAATGAATTAACAATAAATTGGAGTTTTTTTCTTTTTTAATTATATACTTGTTACAGATTGGTCGTCCCAGCAATACCGACGGTTCTCAATATGCAATACGATCATCAGCCCCTTCGACACCCAGTTCATCGGGTACCGGTGCATTAAAAGATAAGAAATCAACGCAGCCAAGTACGCGAAATAACAGACTTAAACCTAAACAAGACCGCCGCTCTGTAGGCTCGCATATTAAATAAATTATATTGCATTTTCTACAATCTTCTATTATTTAGATTAATTAAATTATTTACAAACATTGAAATTATGTTGCGATATTAAAGCCCCCCAAAAAATTTCCTAATGATACTAATAATCTTTCATGCTTGCAAATCCCATGACAGCAAATTAGAATTATGATATTTATGAATGTCTGTGTTTGTCAGAGAATTGCTCGATTGGAAATTTCTGAATTTATCTAAAGCTCTAAAAGGTTCCTTCGTGAATTGTTATATATATATGAATCATATATATACATTTCAAAATAATATTTCGTCTATATGTTTGATTAGTTTTTTTAATTAATTTAATGTCAAATTCTGGATATATTAAGAAAAATTTTTTTAAATCAAGCTCGATCCCGATCGAGATAACGGTAGCACTATTTCTTCCTTTTCTCTTGCATTTCTTTCCTTTTTTTCCACATCTCTTCTTGCTCGATTATACATATATAAACCACTGAATGTAAGAACAATTCCTATACCTTGAACAAATGTAGTTCTTTGACCAAACCATATGATGCTTGCTGTGATAACAAAAATTCGTTTTACTAATGAAGCAATCGAATATGTAACAGGGGAGGTAATAGATAAGATTGATAGAGCCAGTATATTTTGTGCAAAATGGGAGGTACCATTAAGCCAAAAGTAAAAAGCAATAGTCCAACCATTTGAAGTGTTTGAAGAATGAATGGAGTGATATGACCAAAAATGTTCAACGAGTAGAGGAAAGCCATCGTAGTATAGCCAAATTGGAGTCATGAAGGAAAATGCCATTAGGCTTGAATAAAACGACACATTAAGCTCATCAAGTTTGCGCTTTTCAAAATTTGAATTGCCTTGATTAAAGAGTATTTTTTTTGAAAAAATATTCTGAGCAACGAAAATAACAGTTGAACTCAATGCGAAAAGAAAGCCAATAAAACTCCCCGTTGAAGAGGAAGAACATGCAAGCATTACTCCAATGGTCAGCGGGATTAAAGAGGTATATACTGGATAAGAATAATTAACTTTGAAACCAAATCGGTAAAATATTACTGTGAACAGAGGGGATAGAGCCTATATAATTGGTTATTACTAAATAAGACTAATTGTAACATTCCTACCGTGTAGAAGTGGAATGTGCAAATGCTTACCTTTATAGTATGAACAAAACTAACGGGAACTATACTTGTCGCCATACTAGAAAACACATGACCAGTAATCGAGAACAAACTTAAAGGTAATGTAGTATGTAGAATTTGCGTAGTAGGACTCCTAAGTCTAGTAAATCCCATCCCATGGCCAATAACATAACAATACAGGCTAACAAAGCCAAATTGCACCCAAGTGAGGGTAACAGGATAATTAAATTGGTTTAGGATTTGCTTACCAATATTATTAGTCACAGCAGAGGAAGCGTACCATAATAAGCAATATATAACGAACTTCAGAGTATCAAGAGTGAAAAGACTAAGTAGATTGAAAATAGAATTAATAGAATCCAAAGTTCTTTCTGATAAGGGCTTTGAGGTAATGGTCGGATTAGTCTTCCTTCTCCCCACTACTTCATATTTCTGACGCAGTTGTCCTAAAAGGCTATTCGATTTATACGGAGGAGTAAAGTCTAAAGATTGTAAATTTGATATATTTGGTTGTGCGGGATTATAAGGTGGTGGAAGTACAAAAGGTGCAGATGTTTTAAAAGGATTCGTGGTGCGTCGCTTAGTTGAACGCTTTGGAGGGTATATCGGAGACGGTGTACTATCTAAGCCAGGAGCATATGCAGAAACAGTTACGGGTGAAAACTCTTCAGGCGGATTAGGTGGCATTATCCCTTCACAGGTAGATATTATAAATACAAAAAATAAAGAGTAAATTCTTTAGAGATTCATAAACTATTTATTTCTAGTTTAAGCCAATAATACTTTGTGTAATCCTCATTTAACTAACAAGAATAGAATAACCAATTTACTAATATTAACGCTAAATAGAAATTTATAATGTTTAGCAGTAAATATAACAAAGAAACAAAAACTTTACACAAATTATATTATATATATATACATTAATATAAGCTTTAATTCAATTATATAATCTATCGTATTTGAAGGAAAAAAAAACATTTGGTCAATTAGAGATTTTATGTATACAAAAACTGATATGCACAGTGAACAGGTTTTGTACGTACGTACGTATCAGTTTCAAAAGATTATCATAATTTAGATTATTATTGGCCAACCACGTATATGAATTATGGAAGCCGATATACAGTGACAAAAATTATTAAAAATTAAATAATCGCCAAGGAAGCCTGGCAAGTTTCCCCTTGGCGCTACTCAAATAAATATTTGAGGTATGCCACTTTATTATTGCTATGCATTCATTCACCGTAAGATAAATTTAACCTCAGGCTCGCTTTTTAGTATGTCTTCCAATTCTCGGACACTATACCCTTTAAGAGTACATATCTCATCAAAATGGTGTTTACCATCAAGTAATCTAGTTAAATGATATAATTATTTAATAATATACGAAATTAATAAGAAAATAAAAATATGGCATAATTTGATACCTGCACAGTTGTTTTGGTAACGAAGTCCGTTGTTTACTAGGTTCAGGAAGAATAGGATATTTATGAACGCGATATAAAAATCCTTTAATTATACCAAAAGATATGAACCGCCTTATTCAAAATGCATAACTATCGATGTCAGTATCCTTGAATACCAAACATTGTATGCCCAAGGAAATGTTAAAACCTAATTTACCGAATGTCAATATCTAACGATGTAACTTCTTTATTTTCTTGAATCCATTCTTTAAGAGTCAACCCATGCTTCAGTTGGCAGTAAAGTGAAAATAACTTGGCAAATGAGGGTGGTATTTTGCCTATAGAATTTATAATTATGAAAATTTTCTGAATAGATTGCTTAGACATTTCGAATCATCTTACCTCGCTTTCTCACATAAGACAAACATTCACTCTGAACTGTTTCGTCCTCGATTATCCTTATAATATCAGGCTTCACGGCATATACGTTTGAAAACTAAAAGCGTATAAGAAAATTATAAACTTTATTTCTATCATTTATCTTTGTCTTGTATATTTAATCACCTGAAAAATATCAACCATAATAATGCATCCATAGTATCTGTAAGAAACAACATAATATGTAATAATTTAAGATTTATCCAAGAATGAACACCATCTTATAAATTATACTTGATGTTATTTATACGAAACACGATAGCTTACAAAAGATGCTCCATGCACTTTCGAGCCAATCCACAATCAACATCGGTCAATTCAGCAATCTTCTTAACATGATGTATGCCATTTATATATGTTGCCACCTTAGAAAGCCGCGCAAAAATTAAGTCTAAATCAAATTAACTAAAATTATAAATAATATAAAATGTCTCTCAACCTTTTTCATCGTAATATCCCAATTACCATCCATTAACGCTTTAAGGTTAACGGTACAAATGGGAACTTGATAATCATACACCGGTGGTGGATTTCGATATGTTGGAAACAACTTCAAATTTATCGTATTTGCTGGGTCTGATTGAACATAGAAGTTATTTTAGCTTCTCACTTATAATATTATTATAAAGAACTTACTAATGGGTATTTGACATTCGCAATAACTGTTAAGATCTTCGAAAAGTTGCTCGATTATATTGTACATAAAGGACTTGGTCGATTCATTGGATAAAAAAGCACTTTCGATCTATTAAAATAATTATTTTATATATGAAGAAATTGTATCATTTAAAGAAAAAGTAAATTATATTATATACAGACCTCTAGCGAAGTCAATACCCTAGCAACTTTTCTCACAACAGGTTCATAACTTGAAGTATCAGCGCCGCGATCAAATACAAAACTCAAATTAAACATAAAACTATTCCTAGGATAGCGGTTTCCCCATACTACTACTGGATATCCCATGACTTGATAATTATCCGTGCAAATATTTACCAAATGGCCACATAATAGTGGTGTTGGAACAATATATTTAGAAATTGAATGAAAGTCAACTAGGGGCGCTGACGAAGCTGTAGGTTTAATGGAACCTTCTGGTACTTCAAAAACTACTTGAGGTCCTTTATCCGGATCGAACACCGAGTAAAATACAGAAACAAGGCGTGGTGGGATACCAGCTTGAAATTCACTTTCTTGTTGAGCATAATCTTGCATTTTTATGCACGGAAAAGAGCTCGCGAAAACGCACAATAGATTTATGGAAAGTGACCGCACATTTTTCGTACTACATTATATTGTACTACTTGTTAGTGTATATGTAAACAACGCGTCAATTTATTTTGTTCGTTGAATTTCTAATTTTTATCTTATAATAAAGTAAACGTCTCATAATATAGAATTTGATGATAAACACTTCATTATGGAATGGAAATACGCACAACAAAAAGGTGAAGTTTAATCTGGTATCTTGTTATACGAAATAATATTTATATTTGGGACTAAATCTGACGGACTTCAAAAAGATCCTTCTAGACTTTTAATAGATTATAATAAGCTAAAACAGGATAATGTAAGATTAGAATGGGAGTATAATAAACTTAGTCGTACACATGAAATAAGCATCACCGAAGCCATTATCGAAAGGCATACGCTAAAATGTGAGGCTATTGAATTTAAGGAAAATGCTCGACATGCAAAAGAGCAACATATAATTGCTCAGGCTTCTCTTGAAATACTCACTCTAGAAAATAGACTTCTAACTACGGAGTCAAACCTATTGCAACAAGAAATTAAGAAATTGACTGAAGAAAATTTCAATTTAGAAGAAGAACTTGATAAGCTCAAAGTGTTGTATGAGAATGCGTGCGAGAAATTCTCTTTGCTAAACCAGCAAAAAGACAGTTTCGCTAAGAAGTACATAGAATCTCAGCAAATAAAATCTCTAGATTCCGAAGAGAAAGAAAGTTTATTAGACAAGCTAAAATTAATAAATGAACAATTAAATCAACAAGTACAAGAGAAAGAAAATCTTCAACTTTGCATCGATCAATTACGAACAGAAAATAAAAATTTGGTGTCAGAACTAAAAGTGGAAAACGAACAACTACAACACCAATTGGGTAGGTAGTATGCTTCATACATGTGGCCGAAACTATTTCTGTTTATTTGAGACTGGTTACAGCATTAAGCCGAAATCGGTTTGATGGAGGCCGAAACTATTTCTGCTGATTTGAGACTGTTTACAACATAAATCGTAATAGTTTTGACAAAGCTGAAACTATCTCGGCCTATTCGAGACTATTACGACATAACGATAGTTGTAATTGCGATAGCTTTGAACAAAAGCCAAAATAGTTTCGACCACATGTATAACTGAAATACAACGAATTGGCAATATGATTATGAAACTAAGATGTTAAATCAAATGATAGAGGACGCGAAAACAAAGACATCATCATTGTCAAGCGAAAATGAAATATTAACCAAGAAGATTGATGAGTTGACTAAAGTAGTTGGTAAATTGATCATCATTCAATTGTTGCCAATTAAGAATCGATTTTTATGATTTTATGTTATTTCAGAAAAAATAAGGTCAGAACATGATATAATTGCAACTGCACGAAATGAATTGCAAGGAACATTAAGTGAGTTTTATAAAGAAAATATTTATTAAATGCTGATTTGCCGATGAATAAAATATCTATTAAACTAATTTTAAAATCAGATTACATTACAAACGACAATAACAAATTAAGAAAGGAAACTAATGAGCTGCATGTTAAAATTGGTAAGTCACTATTATGAGTTTTACAAATAAATGATTTAACTCTAATCACTCGATTTGGTTTAGCTCTTTTGCAAAATAGCTGCGCAAAATTCAATGATGGTGGACCACTTCCGGAGCCGATGAATGATAATGAGGTTACTAGGATTGATAGCGTAACAGATGCCAGTAGCGAAAATTCTTCAAATCAGTCAAAAAGACACGTCACCTTTGCAGAAACTGAAACAAACAAGAAGAGAGTACGTGTTAATAAAGAAGAAACTCTCAAGGCAGGTCATAAATCACGTTCTAATAGGTCTAAAAAGGCTATTTCCAAAATGCCGGACACGACCGAACCTCCAACGGTAATAGCATTCCCTTTAGAACCAGTGACTAAAAACCCAGTAATCGGGTATGATCAAATGAAATCTAGATTTAATATTCCTAAAAAGGATTGAATTCTATGTAAACGATTATTATTTGTTAAACTAAGAGGGAAATTTAGCATTTATCTCAAAGTAACACATAAATTGATGAAACAAGTATTATTTAAAGCACTGCCATCTGCAGTGCTATTTCAAAACTAATGGCTAAAGTTCGGTAGAAAATGCCAAAAATTATTTGATGATATTGTTCATTATAAAAAAAAAAAGGTTTATTGTTCTGTGTAGTGGAGGATTTAAAAGGATTACGGAACATCAATATGTATGAGTGGTCTGATCGGTTGGTATGGGGTGTACGATACCTATCATATCGGCGGATTTACGGAATTGGTCCTGAATTGATCCTAAATTGTATCTTCAAAGTTATCCGCAAAACTTTGTAGCAAACAAATATACGTACATATAATTTGAGGGGTAAAATAGATACAATAATACTGTTATTGTATCTATTTACCCCTTAAATTATCTTTATATGTACGTATATTTGTTTGCAAATTTTGGTTTCATTTTGCGGATAACTTTGAAGATACAATTTAAGACCAATTCAGGACCAATTCCGCAAATCCGCCGATATGACATATGTATCTCTATGCAGAGGAGAGAACCCCGTACCCTAAAACTTTTTGATAGTGATACAGTTTATTCGCAATGCAATTATTTTGACAGACAGCTCATTAGACAATTAATTGTGGTAGATTAAAATGAAATCGAATTAAAATAAAATTTTTCTATTTTTTTAGGAAAATTTAAAATTTTTTGGGGACATTTTTTAGGGTTAGGGTTAGGGCAGTGTTGTCAATTGGACATGTCCAATTGAATTTTTTGATTGGACAGTTTTGGACATGTTTAAAACTGTTCAAAATTGTCCAAAACTATTCAAAATTGAGTTGAAATTATTAATAAATAATATAGTATTTTTAGGCAATTTAAAGTTTTTTATAATTAAAATTTAGAATTTGAAGTTATTAATCTGTGATAGTATATATTTAGGGAATTGCTATTCGTACCCCCCGTTTTTGCTATCCATACTCCCCAGATATCAAAAAGTGCTTCAAAATAGATTTTTTTTTTATTCTTTGACAGTCTTGCCGGTGCTCAAATACAAAATTATATTACTATTAGACTACAAAACAAAGATTCAAATTCTAATAATATCTAATTAAAAAATTGCAAGCCCGACATCACCTGGCTACATCTTGTGTGCCCAGATGCGATGTGTCGCACCAACCTGTAAACAAGTTAGATAAACTTTGTTAGCCTGTCAAAGCTTTTCCCTTCATATTCTTTTTCTTTACCGAGAGCAAAAGAAAGTAATAATCTTATATCTAGTACAAAACCACCAATAGTACTAAGAAACAAAAAGAAAAACTAACTAAAAAAAAAACAGATAGAACGAAGAGGAATTTTTAAAGGAAAAATAAAAGAGGGTACAATGAAACGTAAAAAAAGAAAATCAAAGAGAAAAGCCCAAGGGCTGACAAAGGGAAGAACTACCTCTATCAAGAAGCAGTACAAATAGACGAAAGAAAAAGGAAAAGTACACTATTATAACCCATGCCAGGCAGGTATAAAAATTATATAACAAATACAACATTT